TCTTGAAGGCATGCCCCAGGATCGCATTGGTGTGGCTCTTGCACACGAATGCGAATGTATTGGTGCGAAGTGGGCCGGCAGTGAAGAAAAAAGGAAAAGAATCCGTCGAAAACGCTTAGGTTGAGGGCTTACTCACCTTCCTGATAAGGGCAAAAAGGATAAAGCATTTGCCGTTGATCAATCCCTTTTTGGGATGCGGCACGCATTCTACTTCCATTTGTACATTGGCGTTTGAATGCGATGTGGCCTATACAATGACTTGCGGGGGCCAGCCGATGTACAAGTCAGTGTTTTTATCCTCCCAGACAAGTCTGGTACCAATTAACCGACCCCGGAGGGATGGAAGGCTTGGTTGGCCCGGGCGACTCACGACCCAGGATTTGATCCCCGGACCGCTCGCGTGGTAAGCGCGCCACTTGCCACTACACCACTTCCGCCCACTTTTTTCGATAGGCTGATTTTTTCTTTTCGACTGGCTAAAACAATGAGAAACCAAGTGCGGAGAAGAGAGTGTGAGGCGAGAGAGCGCAGCAGATGAGAGGGCGGCAGACAATTGAATAAAAATGGATAAAATTGCAGCTGCTGCATTGCACTTTGCAAAGCCTCTTGTTAGGTGATTCCGTGCAGGAAGGCCACAGCTGTTATTGTCCTCTAGGGGTCAATCCTACAGACCGAAAGGAATCGTTAACACGACTTCTGCCTAGGATGTCACTGCAAGTCCACATCCCAACGAACATACCCTCTTTCAGAACTAATCTCTTGAATGGGAATCATTCAGAATCTGCGTGTTTTTTCCATAGCCAACTTATTTTGCAATGCTGCTATGCTGGAAAATCCATGTCCATAAAACAATGTGGGAAATTTGTTCTCCACCTTGACGAGTGGATTCTTTGAAGGTTTTTCCCAAAACTCAGTCCGTCCGTAAACCTAGCGTTGCCTCTCAATTTTGCCATGTATGAAATTTTGTGCAAAATCGCATGTTATCGTCTCGTTTCTTTTTCCTTTAGGCGAAAAAAATGAGAGGGAACATAACTTGATGGCATATAAAAGAAAGTGTGCTCAAGTGTAACATTTTTTACGGGCCCTTTTCGTTTTTGGTTT